AGCAGGAGGAAGAGGGGTAAATCGCTAGAGCAAGAAATTTATTGGCCTGACTGTTCACATTCTCACTCGAATCCATATTCGGACATTTCGCAAAAATCTACGGACTTACATAAGGAAAAAATATTTGATCTACTTATGAATCGAAGTTCGGAGATCTTTCACAACAGTTCGTGGTCATTAAAAAAACAAAAATACAAATTCCTCTGCCATATAGCTAGGTTAACAAAGATTTTTTTACCGACACAGATATCACTAGTAGAATTGCTGAAGGCCAAGATGACTATGGACTAGACCGCACTGTGCCCGTCTAGACGGGTGGGTAGACTGCACTGCAGCAAGAGTTATAAAAGGCCAACTATGTTTATATATAAAAGATCTGAAATTGTCCAAATTGTCTTCCGGGGGCCTGAGCGATACATAGTTTTCGTAGCTTTCATTAGATTATCCTTCTTTTAGCCACATATTTAATGATTTTACATTTAGGAGCTGGTTGTGCATGGGGATATAAATGTAGACTAAATTCATGCGAGTGACTAAAAAAGCAAATGTGCAAATTAAGAAATCAAACATGTGAGTAATGAACAGGGTAAATTGCCTCTCGGGATGTAGGGCGTTTCTGAGAATTCCAGGAGATAAGGTCGCATATCAGACTGATGCCCTCCGGACTGGCATTTGGGATCAAATTGCCAAGAGGAACTGGAGAACACTTTGGAAATTTAAAATTCATCGCACCCGCGAGCTGGTAACCTTCGGGCCAGTCTTTCTGAAGAAAACAAGGTAATTGGGAAACGTTGTAAGAGCCCCAACAGAGAACAAAGGCTAGACAGAAGTGAAAAAAAACTACGAACTTCCGGTCAATATAAAATTTCGGACTGAATTTACATAATAACGTATTTAATCACTAATCGCATACAAAAGGAAGAATTTTGATAAAAATGTTCCAGCACAGAGCAAAAGAGTAGAATGTTGCGGTAATTATTTAGAACTAGAATGCACAGTTCAACTGTGCCAACAAAGATCTGGAGTCTAGACATTAAAAAAAATAGTTAAGACAATAAAAGTTAATCTCGGAGTATGACTCAACGGCAAATGCGTCAGGAAACCATTAGTATACGGAAGTTAAAACATTTTAAACAGATGGTAATTCTTTTTAAACAAGATACCTGGCTGGGAGTTCCTAAAACCGAGCAAATTTTGTATAACATGTCGATTTCAGAGTCGCCGGGAAAGAGAGGGCGGAGTGTATACAGTTCAGCCATGATGCAACCGACTGCAAACAGGTCGATGGGAGAGTTATATTTCAAGGACCGCAGGAGCACCTCCGGGGCTCGATACCTATTAAAGGCAAAAACCTTCAGATCGCTTCAATCTACTTCAGTCAATATTACCTAGATAAAAGCTGTTAAGAATAGCGCAAACGCTCAGAACCAATGTATTTGTTCTAGCTTTTGAGATCAATTAAAGCGATTTTGAGGAAAATAAGCATATGCCTTGGTAAAAGAAAAGACATGTTCACTCAGGTAAACGTTGCTTACCATCGTGTTGACACATAATCCGTGTAGGGAGGCTGGGAGCGGATTTCCCTTGCTAGCCCAAAGTCCGCAAGTTTTATGGTATCTGTTCCATTACACAACAGGTTTTCCGGCTTTAAGTCACGGTGAAAAAATCCTGAAAACGGCAAACATGGTCCATTAACAAGACAAAACACATTTTTTTTTAATATGAAACCCTCGGCTCACCTTTCTTGTGCATGTAAGCTAGACCATCCAGGATTTGCCATGTTATTTTCCGCACCGAGTCTTCGGGAAACAGTTTGGTCCTAATCGGAAGCAAGTGTCTCAGATACAAGCAGCATTAGACCAAAACAGAGCACAGAGTGAGACAAAACAGATGGAAACGAGAAACACAAACAAGGTTTGGCCGAACCTGCGCTTCATCATTTCGTAGAGGTTTTCTTTCATGTACTCGAAAACAAAGAACAATTCGTCCTTCTCCCGAATAACTTCTCTTAGTCTTATAATGCTTGGATGTTCCAACCGTTTAAGTGTCTTAGAAGACGATGCAAATAGAAAGTGATGGTGAGTGAACTTAATAAAATAAATACACATTAGCGAAAATAGAAGAGTTTCTCAAGATGCCAGGAGGACCGATAAACGTAAGCGAGTGTCAACACTTGATGACTTAGCCTTGCATTGAGACTAAACATGAACCCAAACGAACAGCTAAACTGTCTGGTAAGGGGATGTCAACCAGAAGAAATGATTACAAATGGGCATGGTCGGAGATATAATTTGGAAAATTGTACCGTTTACAAAAGCAGACATAAACGACCAGTACTGAGAGGGGCGACATCTGCCTATGTCCCGTTCCAAAAAGATAAAATGACACACAGATTGTGGGTGGACGGAGAGTGCAGGGTTCGGTAACTAGAACCGGTGCAAACACACTTTAAGAGGACGTGCATACAAGGTGCAAGTCGACAGAAGCGACATTCATGTTGTACTAACGACGACATTTACCTTTCCCGCATTAACTCATACATGTTTTGATGCATGAATTCAAAAATAAGATAGAGCAGATAGTTTTCCCTCACAACTTCTTTAAGCTTGATAACATTAGGATGGTTCAACTTTCTTAACGACTGATGAAAATCTCACTATCTGCGAAATCAATTACCTTCACTTCGCGCAAATTTAAGCATTCTTCCCAGGAGTAATATTTCTTCTTCATTCTGTTTACATGAAGATCAATTGTATAAACCTACTTTTTGATAGCCACCTTCTCCTTTGTTTCTATAGACAGGGCAAGAAGGACAGAACCGTACGTTCCATCACCCAATTCTCGCAAAAACTGGTAGCGATACATGTCATCTACTCCCGTCTGTAACAAAAATATCTGATTTATGTCATTACAGG